AAGATTCCTGCTACAGGCTATTTGTTCTGAGCAGTTGCAGTTGTTCTACTCTCTGAAATCATTTGAAACTGAAAATTTTGAATTTTCACTTGAAATTAGATAGCTCTTATTCATTCTTAAAGAAAACCTAAGTATTGTATACAAATTAAAGCAGATTTTTAAAACTTTATAAAGTGTGCCGAATAATTTTGAGTTAAAAGTACTCATTTTTTGCAAGATTATCCAATGAATTTGCAAATACTTTCCTATTAAAATGTTTTTGGGCTGAGCCCCAGTGGCTCAAGCCTGTAATCCTAGATATACAGGAAGCTAAGATCTAAGCATCATGGTTTGAAGCCAACCTGGGCAGGATAGTTCGTGAAACACTTATCTCCAACTAATCAGCTAAAAGCCAGAAGAGGAGTTGTGGCTCAAGTGGTAGAGAGCTAGCTTGGGGCAAAAACTCTCAGGTACAGTGTCCAGGCCCTCAGTCCAAGCCCCAGAACTGGCACAAAATACAAAATAAAAAGGTTTGAGACTTAATTTAGTCATTTCATCTAGTCACGGATGCTTTCCCTCTAACTTATGAGTTCAATTCTACATCTACATAGTCAATCCTAATTATTGTGAAGAACCTATCAACAGCATCAATACTCTCATACCCTGGAGGATATTGATAGTCAATCAAAACACAGATAATCAAAGATTTCTAATGAAGTTCTGGGAACCCAGCTACGATACCTTTGCTTCTTGAGGCACCCTGGTCGAGTATTCATGTTTTGCCACAGTGTCATTTTCCTGGCCGATTCCTTTCACCACCTCTATCATCCCCATCTTCTACAGGACTGGAAGTCTTCCTCTGATGGCTCTACACTTCCAAAACCACTCATATTATTCAACTTACTATACTGATGTTTTGACCTGAGTACCTATTGGTATCTCATAGTTTGCATCCACATCTTAAATATTTTCCATTCTCTTCTCTGATGCTAAAAATTGTTTCGAGGTTCCTCAACATGAAGTTATCCTCATAATCATAAAATCAACCCTAATTAGTGCAAATTACTACTTCAAAGATTTACCAGACAATACTTCGGTATAGATTAATGAAAATAGTCAATTATAATACCATATCTCCAGAATCTAATATGAATGGTCAAATTATATAGGAGCGGATCTCCAGAATCTACATGTTTTATTCTAGCAACTTCTCCCCAAGCCCTTAAGTAATGTAAAGTCTGTTACATATCTATGAAATAGCTGTGCATAGAGAAACATGCTTGTAATCCTAGCATATGGGAGGCCGAGGCAGGAAAACTAATGGTGTGAGAATGGCCTGGGGCACATAGCAAGGCATTGTCATATATGCATATGTGTGTGCATGTATGTACATATATACGTGTTTATGGATGTATGCATGTGTATATATGTGTGTGTGTTTTTGCCTCAAAAAATATATTTTCAAAATGGCAGAGGGGTTCTAGATTTACTCTATGCCTTCAATGCACAGGGGAGTACAAGAGTCTTACAGGGCTCTTACACATCCACATTCATATCCAAAGTCTCAATGAAAATAAAGAAATGCATTTTTGATTGACTGACCATTTCTTTTATATTTTTGCTGAGAAAATAAGAAAGAAATAGGCTGCTTTCTCCTAGGGAACACCATGTCAAAAAACTATGTGAAACCTCTGGTAGAACCATGATCATGGGATTTACTACCTGCTAAATATACAAATGTCAGATACAAATGTACAAGACAGACGCAGAAAAAATATCCACAGGGGTCATGTGTAACTCAGACCTCATAAGCTTGAATCACAGCAGTTCCTGAATGATTCCTGGACACTGGATCCTTCATGACCTCATGGAAAAAAACTCAGTGCACTTGTAGGATCATTTTCTTGGCATCCATTAACAGGTCTCCTGCCAGCCCACAGAGTCTTTTCTTCCCAACCCACTCCTAGAATATAATACCACTCATGACTGACTCCCACAGCAAGGAAAAAAATAATTAAACCATCAAAGTAGAATTTGTCCTTCAAAAATTCTGGCTTTAGAAATATTTTTTTCATAATTTGAATGAAAAGAAATACATTAATTAGTCAATTCCTAAAGCTATTAAACAAAAATATTTAATAGAAAAATAGATAATATTAAATATAAAAATTAACAAGTTAGAAACCAGAAAAATAGTTCAGTTAGTAAAGGTTCTCAGAAAAATTTAAAACAATTAAAAATTCTAATTAAAGCAATATATGAAATAGGTAGAAAGCATAATATACATAATTAGTAATTATCAAAATGGCAAAATAGCATCTCATTGGCATTTAAAAATTTTTTTAAAGATCAGATAAATGCAAATGCTATGTAGGACACTTTAGTGTATAGACAGATAAAAAAAAATACTTATAAATTCATTTTCTAATTTGAGACATATTATAACAAAATTGAAAACACATCAGTGTTACAATGAATATGATGATTACAAATGAGGGATGAAAGTCAATGAGTATATTAAAAATCATTTCATACTGATTGAGTAGAATTATTCCATAAATAGTGGCTCAATATATAAAATCTATTCATATAACACATTGTGTTAGCAGGGGAGAAAACATTATATGATTACCTCTAAAATGCTGATGGCTCTAAATTGTAGAAAATGAATTGAAAATAGCTCAGCATTTGTTGTTCTTTTAAGCTCTCTTAATGAAATATGAATGATATTTCTTGACTATAAACATGCAATGGATATCATATTATATACGTGTAATATGCACTTCCATCTCAAAATCACCATCTTAAATTCTGAAGAAATTACGTGACATTCCCTGCTCAAATCCGAAACAAGACAGCTATCTGCATCTTTTATGGAGCAAGATGATGGTAACATTAGCCACTGACAATCAAATAGAAATAGAACAACAGGAAAGAAAAAGGCAAAATGATATCTAATGTGGATGATATCTAATATGATTAAATATCTGTAAAAGCCAAAGAAACAATTAGAAACTTACAAGAGGAAAAGGAAATTCCCTGTCTGACCCCTATCCTGTCCGTTTTGTGAATCTCTAGCATTTTCGTTAACCAAGGTCAAACTGTGAGGCCAAAAGATAATCTTAATCTCATTTGTGCTTTTGAAATCAACTTCCCTTTTGTGTTTTACAGAGTGCACTTTTATTGAAGCAGTTGCTAAGTAATACAGATGTCTCTAACCTCAGTCTTCCTTTTTCCTGTGCCTCTGTCATTGTGTTTCTCATTTGCTGTATAAATGGCTGTCTGTGCAGGTATGCTACTCTGGTTTGATGTGTAATTCCCCCGAAATAAAGTCCCAACTTCATGACCCTATTTTCTATAGTAGGCTCGTAATTCACTTTTCTAGATCCACTTCGGCCTAATCTTCTATATGTAGTTTATACGTATCTGACTTCTGAGTATCTTAGATATACCTGTACTTGTAGCTCAGTATATTTTAGAATATGCATCCATTCTCTTAGCAAAATAAGTGACGGTGATGTCTATTAATATCTGAGCACTGATTATTTCGCCTTAAGCAGCTACATCTTAAATTACCAGAGACATGGTTTCTTTCTCCTTTGAAGTCCCAGTCTCTTAATTTCCTTCTCTGTTTATGCCTGCTTTCACTGGCTTTATTTAAAAACTTCATGAGAGTAGAAAAGGATTTAGACCCATTATATGCAGCTCTAGCATTACATAGACAAATGCTTTTTAAAACAGTGTGGTTTCCCGAAAGACAAAAGTTAAAGTGTTAAGCTCAACTAAGGACCTTGCCTTTGTCTATAATTTATCCAGATTTCATTTCTTGGTTGTGTTCCATTTGAGTTGGCCTCAGCGCTGTATTCTCAAGGCCTGTTACCGTTCCTGGAACATGCTAGACAATAATGATCCTACCTCTATGGCTGTATGAAAATTAACTGAATTGTAATGAAAGATACAAAGAAGCAAAGGCTCAACAACAGCGTGAGCCAGCTTAAGTTCCAGTTACACCTTTTATATTTTATGACAGGAATGGTTGTTTCACTTATGTTGTTTTGTGGATGTAAATTAAAAACTAATTTCAACAGATTACTAGTCACTTTTTTTTTAAAAAAAAAACCCTAGAACTACCAAAATCCCTAGCTGTGGAAGAAACAAAGGTGTTGGTAGAAGGTATAATCAAAGTCGGAAAGTGGCAGTCTGAACCTTAATGGGAATGTGATAAACGGATTGGCCATGTGCTACATTGATCCCACTATTTTCTGGTTGCTTGTTAACTTCTTATACATTTTGAGCTGGAAAGCCTTTCCTCCGTGAGGATGATGATCGCCTTTGAAATTCCTTGAAAATGCCCTGTAAATCCCCATGTAAAGTGCAAATATTCACAATGCATCCAACCTTGAACAGCTTTAGCTGTCTGCAGAAGGCAAAGCCTTAAGGGGAATCGGAGGGATGCTGGTGGGACGTGAGGGCGCGGAAGGCTGGTCCAGGTGACCACTTCACAGGGGCCGGGGCCGGGGCGTCCTCACTTCCCTCTCCTCCCCATATGCCCCAGAGTTTAGGTCCTAATTTGCAGCTTTGGTTAAGCCTAGGGAGGACTGGGCATTTTGTTTTAAAGTACTGTCTTTAACATCACACAGGCACCCTCGGGGAGGACTCCAAACTACTTGGCCTCGCTGCAATTTTTAACTCAAAAATGAAATGGTCCAGGAGCATCGATGAAGCACAAGTCCCAAACCATCTGCGCGAAGAACCCAAAAAGGAAGGGGGACAACAACCCACCCCATTCCCGAACTCCACCACCGGAGGGAGCGGGAGCGAGCAGCCGAGGGGGCGGGTCCATCGAGAAGCCACGCCCCCTCCCCCTCGCCTGTCGCCGATTGGCGGCGACGTCAGGATGGGGACGGAAGGGCGGGCTCACGGCTAAGGCGCTCCTTCGGCGCCGTGGGTGTGTCCTAGCTGGGAACGCGCGCGCGTACGTGGGTGCGCGCGCGCGTCTGAGAACCGGAAAGGAGGCGGGGCCGCGGCGGTAGCGGCGGCGCGCGCGGTCCCCGGAACGTGCGCACCGCAGACGGCGCGGATCTCAGGAAGCCGGGTCCGCCGCGGGAACGGGGAGAACCCGGGTTCCTGTGTGAAAGACGGCGACGGCGGCGGCGGCGGGGGGTGGGCAGCTCGTGAGAGACGGTCGCGATGAACACGGTGCTGTCGCGGGCGAACTCGCTGTTCGCCTTCTCGCTGAGCGTGATGGCGGCGCTCACCTTCGGCTGCTTCATCACCACCGCCTTCAAAGACCGGAGCGTCCCGGTGCGGCTGCACGTCTCCCGGATCATGCTGTGAGTGCGGCCGTCGGGCGGGCGGGCGGGCGGGGACGGCGTCCGCACCCCCACCCCGGGGCCGCCCTCCGCCCCCCCACCCCGGCCCGGCGCCCCGGGCGCGGTTCCCGCCTGCACCCCGGCCCCGGCCCCCCGCCTGCACCCCGGCCCCCCCGCCTGCACCCCGGCCCCCCGCCTGCACCCCGGCCCCCGGCGCCGTCGTCCATTCCCGGGCTCACTCTCAGAGGTGCATCTCGAGCGGCCCGCGGGTCGGAGGCTCCGCCGGCTTCCTGTCCCTCCCTTCTCCCTCCGCCGTCCCCGGCCAATGAGGGAGCAACACCGCAGCAAACCCGCGGCGCCGCCGCCTCCCGCCCGGCGCCTCCCGCCCGCGCGCCCCGGGACCCCGAGGGGTCCGCGCCAGGCCCGCGGGCCGTGATGGCGGGGGGAGGGCTGGGGGAGACGGTCGGCCGCCGAGGGGTGGGATGCGGGGCGCGGGCAGGAGGCCTCGCGGCGGGGCGGGAGCCCCCTCCGCCTCCCCCCGAGCAACTTCGCTTTTGTGTCATTTGTAACCGGAGTTTGCCCTGCTTGACATTCCCCGGGCTCCCAGCCTTGGGCCACTCGCGGCCGACTGGGAAGTTAGGCTGGAGACCCTGCCGGGAAGCCAGGTCGGGGACGATCGCACCCATCCTTCCTTGAGACCTCGGGTGGAATAAACACGCACACACACACAGATTGCACGCACACACAGATTGCACACACACGCACACACACACAGATTGCACACACACGCACACACACACACACACACGACTGCAGGGTGACAGTGTTGGTTTCAGCGACCTGCCTGATGTCCCTTTGGCCCTCACTTGACATGATTTGGTTGGTAACTGTTTTCCTGATTCAGTTAGGCCTGGGGTAGTGCCAGTCTGTACTACCTCCCCCCCCCCATCAGCTTCTTGAGGGAGGACTTCGAAGAGATTGAGCTGTTTTAAACACTGAGCAAACTTGTCTCGAGCAAGTTTCTCACTTTCCTGCACCTTAATTTCCTTTTGTTTAAGGTGAAAGTAATAATTAACTGGTAGGCTCTGATGAGAATTGAGATAAATGTGAAAAATACATAGTAGATCTGACCTACAGTAAGCACTCTCAAGTAGCAGCTGTTCTTGTTTTACTTTCTCCACACCACCTGTAGTCATACGTATTTTTATTCTACCCCTTGTGTCTGCTTTACATCAAGTATTTAGCTTTTTTATTTTTAGCAGTTTTTTTTTACATCTCCCTGGGTTTCCTTAAGAGTCTCAATGTATATGAAAATAATAGCAAAGACCTTTTATATTGAATTAGAATGCTAATCTTATTTCCACAGTGCAGGTTTCTCTGGCTGTAATTTGTGCCTTCGTAGAATTGCTGTTTTACTTGTGCACAATTTTACATTGTTATGTGAATGTTCTTGTTATATATGAAGTAGTAAAAATTCTGTTCTTTACTTCTAGAAAAAATGTAGAAGACTTCACTGGACCTAGAGAAAGAAGTGATCTGGGATTCATTACGTTTGATATCGCTGCTGATATCCTTCAAGAAACTTTTTGTTTTATGGATAGTTTTGTAATAGATTACATTATATTATTCAACAATTTGGAAGACTGTAGATATGACTCTACTGTCTAGTCATTTAAACATTGGTACTTCCTCATTTACATTTTCAGCAAACTATGATTTATAAATTATTTGAACCGATTTTAAATTCTTCCTGGGAGCTTTACATTGATCAAAATTCTCACAAGAAAGTTTGGAATTTGGGGAAGAGAATATGAAATTAGATGACCTGGACTACATAAGGAAAAATATTACCCAAGCTCATCCTGATTAAGAATAGTTCATGTATAGTCCCAAAGAACCCACCTCATAAGATGGCAGAGAGAAATATATTTAAAAAGGGAATTACATAAAGGTTGACTGTTATTAGAATCCTTATTGTTAAACTATATTAGGATTTTCTGCTTTTTTCCCCCTCTTCCCCCTTTTTGGTAATGAGGTTTGCCTCAAGCCTTTTTGCTTTATTTTTCAGATAAGGTCTTCTGCTTTTGCCTGGGTAGGCCTCTGACCAAGATCCTTCTACTGCTTAGCAGAGATTACAGGACTTCACCATCTCCCCAAGCTTCTTTTTTTGAAAGAGGATCTCCTTTACTTTTGCTGCCTAAACAGGTCTTAAACTTCTACCTTCCTATTTATGCTTCCTGAGTGATAGGATATCAGGTGTTTATCACCACAGCCTTCACTTGCCTTACTAAGACCCTACGAATAAAAATGATTTTGGAGAGTGAACATTCTGCACTTGGGGAAGCAACCATCTGATAGTTAAAGCAGATCAGAGGGCTGGATAGCTTATCTTTTGTTTGTCTGTTACCCTGGGATTCCTTTTAATTTTTCAGAAATGAATTATTGGGACTTAGAAGTAAATGGGGTGTGAATTCTAATGCAGTCTTTTAAGAAATAAAGATGTCCTCAAAAATGTAGGTTGAACTTGGTGCAGGTTGTTGAAAAAAATCTACTTAAATGAAAAGTACTTGAGATCTAGTCTGATGAAAATTGTGTATGTTTCGAGAATTCCATTGAAATTTCCTGATATCCCAACTATCTTATTTGTACATTACTAATTTCTTCACCTATAGTTAATTCAGAATTTCTTAATGACATAGTTGTTAATATTTGAAATTTTATCTGTTCTTGTAAAGTACGCACTTAGATTTCTTAGTTCTAAACAAGTGATTTTTAATAAGTACACATAATTATAAGTGAATTTATGAGTCTCTTGCTTCTCTATGTAAACATACATACTAAATGTCCACAATTTAAATACGTGTCTATTTAAATCCAAATATCCAGTTGGATCAGTTGTTAATAATGGCACCAGTCTCGTGGCTAATTGTGTGAGTGAGCCTCTACCTAGTCCAAACTGAATGTAGCCAAATAATGTTCAGTTGTCTTTTCCCAAAGCAATTTATATAGTGAGATGTTTTGATCTGGATTGGCATATAACCAAAAGCAGCTTACACAATTTATTATTTTTTTTTATTTACTTGAGACTAGTGAAATGTTTACTTTATTGTTAGCTTTAAGTGGTAGTGATAAGAGTTTAACCTTAGATCTTCAGTGAATCAGTGATTTGAAATAATAAGTCCTTCATTCTTTTGGACTAAGTGAGTTATTATAGAAAAATAAATTTTGGATTAGTGATGCTTGCATTTACTGAGGAGAATGCAGACCATTTTTTGTTTGGTTTTGGAATGGGCTGTATTTATCAAGTATATCTTATAAAGATGCTTATTTTAAATCTTTTTAACAGTGTCTCCGTATGGTTCTGGACCAATTTGTTTTTTGTATTAGTACTGATATGGATGATTATTGTAAATACCACTAAGATCTGTTTAAGCTGCTCAGGAGGCTGAGATCTGAGGATCATGGTTCAAAGCCAGCCCAGGCAGGAAAAGTCCATGAGACTCTTATCTAACTCAAAGTGGTGCCTTGGCTCAAGTGGTAGAGTGCTAGCCTTGAGCTGAAGAGCTCAGGAACAGCACCCAGGCCCAGAGTTCAAACCCCACACTGTCAAAAAAAATGTGCTGCCCTGTAATTTGTATATTCCTTAATTTGTTCACATCTAGAGAATATATTTGATTGGAATGTTAAGCAGTTATTTCTTTATTTATCAGCAGAATATTCAACAAAAAATAATGTAAGTATATGTAAGTATATTGTCATAATTACACATCTTTACTCTTTATGAAAGAATATAGTTTTTTTCACTGCCTGGCATAGCTTAGTAAAAAATAGCAAGTATATATGGAGATAAGTCTATTAATAAAGCTTTTTCTTTTGGTAGATTTCATTGGTAAATATGTCTTATCTCTAGCATTGTGTGCAGAAAGATGTTCATGGAAAGTTACAGGTGATATATAAAGAAAACAATTCAAGAGTGTCTATTGATAATTTCTCAATTTAAAGTAAAAGAGAATTTAAGCTTTGCTAATACTTTCTCTGTGTACTGGCGTTAGTACTTAAGTTAGTCTCTGTCAGAAACTGATCTTCTAATAACATGCAGATATTCTGGTAGAAGGGAAAGAATTCTGTAGGTCAAATGTTGAACGTGTTATCTGACATTTAATTGGTCAAATATACTGAGCATTTTGTATAAATACAGCATTACATAAGTGAATTATATTGTGCACTTTTCCATAGTGTTATAAAATGGGGAAAAATAGCTATTAAAGATTTCCTGTAAAGAAAACCCAGAATTAAGATACTGTTTTAAGTACTCATAAATGATAGATAGTAAAATGGCAGGAACTTTGCTCTTTTGTTTTGATGTTAAGTCTGATTATAGGACTGAAACACAAAAAGATTAAGAAGTGTAAAGAAAAAGAATAGTATTGGTTAAGAAAACTTATGATATTAACAAATAATACTACATGTGTCATATGCATAATAAAGATGCATATTTTTACAAGTTTGTGCTCAAAGTAACTCATGATCGAAAAGTTGGGCTCTACATCCAGTGGTAAGATGAGAAATGATGTTGTTGAACACTGAGTTGTGTGTGAATGAGGGAGTGACACTGTTGCTTAGCGATGTGTTGTTTGATGTAAAATATTCTTTTCCACAGTTAAAATTAGCTCTTTGGCAGCATAATTGAATCAACAAAATTTGACATCTGTAACAAACTCTTATTATCAAGATGCATAATCAAAACCTCTTAAGATTATTAAAATATTTTGAATCCATCTTAGTACCGATATTTATGTTTTTCTGTTTAAAAAAATCAGTAATGTTTAAGTTTTTGTAGTCTTTTAAGTCTTATCTAACATTTTTTGAGAACTATTCTCCTTTGTTTTAAAACTATATTAGACTCATCAGTCTTGAGTATGTGAACTAGTCTTTATAAATCATTGGGGGTTTTTTTTGTTTCGTTTTTTTATTTTTTTCTTGTCTGTCATGAGGCCTGAACTCTGGGCCTGGGCGCTGTCCCTCAGCTCTTCAGCTCAAGGCTAGCACTCTACCACTTGAGACACAGTGCCATTTCTGGCTTTTTCAGCTTATTTAGTGCTGGGGAATTGAACCTAAGGCCTCATGCATGCAAGACAAGAACTCTACCACTGAGCCACCTTCCCAGTACCAAATCATTGTTTTTAAGTTTAATAGTGAAAAGCCATTGAATTGTTGGATTAAAACATTCAAATGATTAGTTTATGATTGAAAGTATAGTCTTACAGAACATTTGTTGCAGATAAGGGTACATCTTAGAATATTTTAATAGAATATTGTTAAATTGTTTTAATTTATATTTTACTTTTGATACTGAAGACATGTAACAAACTGAAAATATGAGAGTGAAATGTATGAAGTTAAAGTGTTGTTTATATGATCCTTTTAGTTGAGTAATTCTGTATTTTTCATCAGTTGGAGTTAATCTGTAATTAAAAAGGTGGGTTTCCTTTTTGTTTTTATTTTTTTGGTAATCTCATTATTAAGGGATAGCACATTATTTATCAATTAACTGGAATTTCTATCACTTTGATTTATTACATGTTTATTTTGAACATAGATTCTATACCAGGGTTTTTTGTTGTTGTTGTTGGTTTTTTGTTTTTTTTGTTGTTGTTGTTTTTGGTCTTTTTAATTGTTGTTTTTTGGTTGTGAAGCTTGAACTCAGGCCCTGGGTACTGTCCCTTAGCTTTTCTGCTCTGCCACCTTGAGCTCTACTTCTGATTTTCCACAGTTAAAATTAGTTAGAGATGGGAGTTTCAAGAACTATTCTTACTTGGTCTGGCATCAAACCAAAATCTTCACATCTCAGCCTCCTGAGTAGCTAGGATTACAGGTGTGAGCCCCCAGTGCCCAGCTATATGCCATGTATTTTCTTAGGCACTGGGAATGCTGGGATAAATAAGTTTAGACCTCTGTCCTTCAGATTTAGCACAGAATTATATAAAAAAAGCTATTCTTGAAGATGAAATTAACAAACATTTTTCAACAAATTATTGAAATAAATGTTACCCGTATGAAAGAATACCTAAGTTTTGTTTGTAGTACTGTTTTACCTCAGAATAACTTGTAAAACAATACTAATTTGGAATTTGACAGATTGTTGCTTTGGTAAATGATAGATTAAAAAAGTCATATAATGTTACTGTGTATTCGAATTTGAGTTCTTCAGTCTTTATGTTTGTGTTTAAAGTTAGAGACTTTAAAGTAAAAATAAACTGTTAGGTATAACTCTTCATGTTTCTTCTTAGTAAATTTTCTTATCACCCCGAGCAATCAGCCTTACAAGTCAGTATATGATTGCTTAAGAGAAAATTTCTTGAGATTTAGTATCATTCACAAATGGGTTTTCATTTTAAGTCCCCAATTTTTTATTTGCAACTTGTTTGTGATATTTTGAAATATAGTGGCTTTAAATAATTGTCTACCTCTAAAAATTTGCAATGACATGATAATGCATTTTTTAATATAAAGGGAAAGAGGTGTTAAACCTTCATTTCTTAGTGATTTCCTTAGTGAGTGATTTAAAATTTAAAAGATGCCCCATCTTTCTTATATGTATCTGTAATTGTCATTTTGTATGTTTCAGGATTTTAGCAAATCCATCGAAGTTGCATCTATTGAGGTGTCAACTATTTTCTTACTAAGAGTGTTATTTGGAAGTGATAAGATGCTACTTCTGAATTAACTAATTCTTTAATGTTTTAATATAGGCTCTGAACCAAGTTGTCCTTTGGGACAAGATTGTTTTGAGAGGCGATAATCCGAAGCTGCTGTTGAAAGATATGAAAACAAAATATTTTTTCTTTGATGATGGAAATGGTCTCAAGTGAGCAGCTCTTTTAACATTTTTACAGTCAATAAGATGTAGAAGGGAGATGAAGGTTTAGAGTATTAAAGAGACCCAGGAATGTAGCTCAGTAGTACAGAGCTTGAATAGAATGTGCAAAAATTCAGGTTTATTCCCCAGCATGACAAAAAAAGAAGGTGGGCGGAAAGAGATAGATCAAAGCAAAAAGAACATTGGGTATGAGAAGAAATGCATTGGGATCTAAGATATGTAACCAGTTCTCTTACAGTATGTGAAATGTAATGATCAGATTAACAAAGTGCACCATCTCTATTTAAGGGCTTGCTTGTATACAGTAAGACTAGGATAGTTACATTGTGGTCTGCTTTCTAAACGGGTCAGAGAAACTTCAGTGAGAAAGCAGCAAGCACAATAGGTATAGGAGTTGATGCGGAAGTTTCTAGTGTGCTAGTGTATTCTAATATGGTAGGAAAAGGTAATTCTGATTTCAGATTAGACACCCTCTTAAGAGTAAATAAAGTGTAAATAAATGTAAATAAAGTGATTAATACCTTAGTACTTGATTTAAAGCATTTATATAAATGACAGATTTTTCTGATTTCTTTCTTTCTTTTTTTGTTTAATAGGGGAAACAGGAATGTCACTTTGACCCTATCTTGGAACGTTGTACCAAATGCTGGAATTCTACCTCTTGTGACAGGATCAGGACATGTATCTGTCCCATTTCCAGATACCTATGAAATAACGAAGAGTTATTAAATTATTCTGAATTTGAAGCAACATATTTTTATACTTAATGAATTATATCTCATTTGTCTTTTCCTTTGCATCTTCATTTGTTTTTGGTTGTTACTTTTTTTAAAACTTGTTTTGAGGGGGATTGTAAAAAAGAACCATCAAAAAGGCATACAAGAAGGAAAAGGTTAATGGGCTACAGAAACAAGTTTCATAAACCACACAAAACAAGGCCACCAGGTGGAATATTGCAGGAGTAGGGCAACTATGTATAAGAATTTGTAAAAATATATCTATTTCAAATATTCCTTGTTTATTTTTCTTTATGGAGTAACCATAAAGAGTTGTTGACATTTTTCAGGTGCCTCTAGGTTATAAGAATTGAATTATATGTTTGCATTCATGCAGGCTCACATTAGATGTGATTTAGATATAGACATTCTCTTATCTCTTTAGGGTATGTTAATTACTGGAAACATTATTAGTATGGCTAATTGTTAAAAGCCTGGTTTACAAAATTCATATGTGATAGTTTATTTGTCTTAGGAATGCCCATAATGCTTGTTTTTCTTGAATGATTAGCAGCTTTTTCCACTTAAAAGACTAAATACCTCTTTCTATGATGTAAATCATTCAAACTCATTTTTAAAGTTTCAAGTCAACCAAATGTGTCTTTCAGTGTTTTCTCTAAATATGTTCCTTTGTATATTTTTGTATAGTTTTCTAGCATTATCAAAAGTTGAGAATGTGTGCATGGTTTCCCTTCTGAGTTAAATTTGTTCAAGTGAGCATGCCAAGGTAATCATTTGCAATTTTTTTTGTAGGTCCACAGTTTAGTAATTATTGGAATAGTAGTAGTGTTTGTGGTGTGCCTTTCATTTATGAAGCACTCTCCTGTATCTTACCGTATGTTATCCTCAGTAGTCTAATGAGGTAAGTGGCATAAATGTTAACTGTTTGCTGATGAAGAAATGGAAACCCAGGTGTTAATTAAAGTATCCAAAGTTAAATAGTTAGCAAGGAAAGAAGTTAAAACTTGAACTCCAATCCAGTTCTCTTAAGCTATTCTTTTTACTTATACCTGAGTTTGCATATGATTCATCAGATTTCATTTACAGTTTCATTACATTTTTTTGGCTACATTCCTTATCACTCTTAGAAGTTTCCCTGTATTGTATGGAAGTGACTTTTTCAAGCAGCCAGCAACTTACATAGTGATAATAATTCATTCTCTGCGTAAGTTTATTTGATGCTGACCGTATGCAGAAATCTAAATATATGTAAAGATAGTGTAGGGATGAAGTACATGATGGAATATGTGATCTTGTTTGACATGGTTCTCTGTAGTGATCAAATAAACATCCTTAAAAGTAACTGCAAATTACCCTTAAAAGCAGGACCAAACACTGTAGCTATCACTATTAGCAGCAACCAAAAAGGGCTAATATTTTCTAAGAATAGCTTAACATTTCTAGTTACCTCACATAAAATATATCATTGTTTAATTACATTTACCTTAACAGTGGTTCCCTGTGACTACATTTTACAAAATCATGCATGTGAAGCTTTTTAAGCCAGTAAAAAGGTGAGAAATACAGTTATTATGAATAGTAAGCTGAGTTTGGCTCCCAGTTTTTTCATTAAACTTGTCCGGGTCTGGATTTCTGTATCTAACATTGCAGTTTTACTAGTTAACTTAAATGGTGGTCTTTTTTACACCACACAAATCTGTAGCATTTGTTTTATCTGTTCAGCCAGGTAATTGAACAGAGAAGCACCTTAGTAATGTGACAACAGAAAGACCATTGAAAAACAACACACAATTCATCCTGCTCTGAACTTTTTCACCTAGAAAATTTAACTTCATTGACTCAATAGGTACTAGATATATGAACTTAAAATCTGCAGGTGTTAAGGTTTAGAAAAACATGGATATGTTGATTCAGGAAGGTGTGCACGACAAGCTTATACTGTTAGAGCAGACCTACGGTCTGGATTAATAAGTTGATCTTCAGTACAATTTACTACTGACGTTAAATCCAGTAATTATTTACAAAGCCTGCTGTATTGGAGTTTGGTGGGGCAGAGAGGTAGTAGGAAGACCTATCTGTATCAGTGTGGTTTCACTTGAAGGATTTTTTGTGGTTTTACTTAAACTACTCTGCTCCAACATGAAAATAAGGAACTTGCATCCAGGAGCTCATTTTTGGGTAGTATAGCTTTGTGAGTTTACCATTGTGAGTCTTCATTATAAAAAGTGTTGTTCTCAGTGTTTTAAATAACTCATCAGATCCATAAAGACAGGATTTGGGATTTACAACTTACTATGAGCAGACATCCGAGCCCAGAAATGATTGAGAAAAAAAGAAAATGGCTATTGGGAATTTAATGTAGCACTCCCATTCTTTACATATTCTACCGTTGGACCCAGAAAACAACTTTTTATTTTCACAGTTAATTACACTTTGTTTCTTATGCTAAAAGGAAAAATTTTAGACTTCAGATTTCCTTCAAGTGTGTGTGTGTGGTATTGGTGTTTGAATTCTGGACCTTCCACTTGCTTGTTCAATTGACACTACCATATGAGCTGCGACTGTATCCGTTTTGCTGGTCAGTTTTGGGGGTTGGAGTGTTTAGGACTTTCCTCCAGATTTCAACCTTTTCAAAAAATAGGATTATAGGCATGAGCCACCAGCATCTGAAACAGCTTAGAAATTTCTAAGAGTATAGTTAAAAAAAAAAACAAGTTTATTTTGAATTTCCTTGCTGGTAATTGTTTCACTTTTTTTTTATGGGTCTGGCCAGCTAATTAGTGCTAAGAATGAGCCTTGTGAATTTAAAACTTTGAATTTGGGGCATGTAGTGTGGAGGTGCTCATGTGTAATAAGTCTATGGGGGAACCCCATATATCCTGAACTTTGATTATAAACATTTCAAGCTTTCTTTGCTACTGACAGCCTTATTCAGGACTGCCAGTGGTTTCAAGAGATCTTTCAAAAAGTTGTTGCATGCTTTTGATGCAATTTGAGAAATGGTTTACTTCAAAAATACAGATTTGCAGAAAACATTCATGAAAAAACTACATGTGTTTGAGGATTTTCCTAATTGCAATAAATACTCGGCATTTTTCTAACACAAATGAATTTGTTTACAAGTAAAAGTATGCATTTTAAAGGATTCTCAGATTTAGGCTTTTTTGTTAAGTTACTGAACTAACTGTACTTGGGTTTTGCTTTTTGGTGGGAAATAAGGGATGGGGGTAGAAAGACAATTATACCCCAAATACCTGTTTCTGAGGGCTGAATGCGCAAATACTAGACTGTAAGCCCTTTGAGGACAGGGTGTCGGATTGTTGTCTGTTCCCCAGCACCTAGTATAGTGCCTTGTCACATGATAGGCACCCAATAAACACTGGTGATGAAGAAGTCAGCATGCTGCTAGTGTGACCCAACCACAGAATTTGTAACTCACTGGTGTAGGTAAATGGTGCTCTGATCAGGTGCTATGGCCTGTTGTCCCACATTTTTCATAAAAGCCGAGTGATGTTTGCTGGTGAAAAGAGTGACAAATAGTCACTCACCAACCTGACTTTAAAACAATCTCAGGATGCTTGCTTAAATGGAGCTCTGAGAAGTGAGGTGAAGTGTGCAGCTGGCTAGAAAGCCTCGTTTGTTTACTGAGCGTCTGGTGGTAGTCAGCTCCAGTTTGGCTTATTATTCCCTTATTAAGGAGTTGGAGTTATTTGAAAAAACATTAAGCGGGGAGGGGGGTGGGATGGTCCTCAGAAGGAACACTGGCCAGTGAACTTGGACAACCAAAACAAAACTTTCTTGAAAGTAGAAAATGAGCTTGGAGGGTAAGTTTCTAAATATGCTTATGGATTATAAGAGGTCAGTTATGTCCTGTTTTGTTCTGTCTTAATCCGGGGTACTCTGCCAGAATGTTCTCTTCAGGTATTCTATGGTTCCCTCATTGTACTCTTTTGACATTTTATCTTTTCCCTGGTGAAATATTAACAAGAATTTGTGTTTTAGACCTGGCTAATGGTGTTTCCAGGAAAAAAAAAAGTGCCTTAGTATATATGCAAAGAAACCATGTGCTTGAAGGGACGTGAAAACATTTTCATGTGTGTAGCTTGCACCCTGCCCACTTAGCCATGAGGGTTGTTGGAAAGGCACCTGGAGCTTGGCAAATGAAGGGACTGATAAGGCTGCCACTGCTATGCCCCTGCTACTGCTCTATTGCCTGACTTGAGGGGTGCCTGCGACCTTTGTAGTAAAGGAATTGGTACAGAGAGCAGGAGGGAGGTCGAAAAGGATCAGGTGTGTTGAGGGATTGGCACAGCATCTTACAACTGGGCCCCAAGAAGTCTGCACATTGGTGAGCATCGCACCCTTGAGAAGCCGGGGCTTCCCTACTGCTGAATCCAAGACTATTCCTACCAAGAATCATGTATGTTATTAGAGTCTCTAAATGGCATTTTATAAGGAAACAGACATCCATGGAATAGCTGCTTTCCGCTTGGTGTTTGAATCCTATTTTTTAAAATAACATGATGTGTCATATTAGGGAAGAAAATATTTCAGTAACTTTGGGAAACCAAATTATTTCTGCTTACACAAGAAAGCCATGGTTGGTTATTCAGGCAGCTTTCCACGGTATGACTGAAGGCCTCACGTTCTTAACATCTCCTGTCACCGTAGGGCAGCAATGACAGCAATAAGGACCACAGTTCTACCTGGGGCCACTCGCATGTTTAGGACATCTTTAACAGCTGTACAAAATTACTGCTACAGGAAGATGCCACGGGCAGTGCACTGAGCTGAGAAGAGCTAGCAGTCACGTATGTGCCTGTCTATTCATGCCCAGATAACACCTAGGGACTGTCCAGTTCCCACCCATGCTTCAGTTTATCTTACCTAAAGCCGCTAAGAGCTGGCTGGCAGGCTGAAAGAAAAATGGAGAGGCCAAACCTGGTAATTTTTTGGGGGGCGGGGGGATCACAGGATATCACTGTCAACATATTCCAAGGTTAAGAATG